ACCCTGTATTTGAAAAGAATATGACAAAACTAAAAGGAATATTCTTCCGGGCAGAGTTGGGAGGATTTCCTCACTAACATGTACAGTAGTGGTGCAACAGATCCCAGATGATCTGTGAACACTATCAGATCAACTGGGATCTGTTGCACCACTACTTTACTTTAGGCTGATCCGCAGATCGATGAGAAATGTATCAACTTGGTGTAAAGTAAATCTACTGACGGTAATCCCTGTGCAGATTCTCAGTAAAATGCAGCGTTCAGTGTGTGTAAGCACCATCTATTGTGCAAATAGAAAGACAATTCAGTCTTTAAAAAGTCTTTTATGGACTTTCATTTAGAAACGGGCCACAAAGGTATGATATTTCATTGTCTATGGTTACTTTGTTTCATATGCCGCGCTGACTTTTCTCCGTTTAATCACGCCCGGTCGTGCAAGTATCAGCTGCTGGCTGCGTATAACACCAATCAGAAACTTAGCGTTAGTAATGTCACAGCCTGCTGCAGCCTGTAGCCAAACAAACTCTATTACCCAGTGATATGTTGTGGCCAAAAACTGAAGATATAATCCCTAAACACACGCTGCCTGTTTGTATTGTCTGACTCACACACCGCGGGCTGCAGGTGCAGCTAGTGCACAGATACACACACACCCACTAAATCAACCACGTGTGTCTGTAGGTTACATGTTTAAGTTCAACATTGTTCAAGTTCATATCAGAAAGAAAGACTTGTTTCATGTAAATTAGAGCAAACTAGTTTTTCACAGAAGGATTTATTTTGTTTTTTATTGTGAAGTTGACACCCCTGCTAACAAGTAACAAGTCTGTTATTGAAATGATGCAGCTTTTTATTACAGTCTGTTGTCCTCAGAATGTAAAAACTCTTTGTAAATAAAAAGGCTTGAGGTTTGTCTGATTCCTTGTATTATTATTATTATTATTATTAATGGAAGTGTAGCAATGTGTAGGCCTATACAGTGAAGAAAATTGAGGATGTGATGACATTATTAGGATTCACATAGACGCATTTTGAATTGTAGCGCTGTTAAAATGTACAGTTAGAGTCATGGCTAGCTGAGGAGTAAGAGAATAAAACACATTATAATTATTATTATATTTAACTGTGTATTGTGATTCACTACTACTAACATGTATTGTTACTATGGAAACACATCCATCTATTTTTATTTGTGAAGATTTTTGTTCATTGTTGTTTTTTTTATGGTGAAAACTAAAACCGATACAAAACCAGCTTGTTTTTGCCTGGAGTCTAAGTTTAAGACGTTTTAATCCTTAATCCTAGGCAGCTCTCATGGTGAACATCGCAGCATGTGCGGCTTATTACTACGGCTACTTGAGTAACTGGTCTGTGTCTTTAAAGTTTAAACACATACAGATCAATTTTAATCTTTGGTGGGAATGTTTGACTCTTTTGACAAAATCTACAACATACCGTGCTCTACAGATAGATGAGGACAGAATGTAACAAAATGAAAGAAAATACAAATCATATTATAATGTGCTGGCACGTTACACATTTAGTATTGTTTCAAAAATCTTTACAAATAACCTTACAGGTCTATACAATCCATATATTTAGCTTGTTAGCGACAGTACTAGGTGTTTCCCAAAAGAATTGACACTCATTAATTTCATCAATGAAAATAGTCCAACAAATCTCATCAGGTCTTCACTAGTGATGGATCCGAAATGGATTTCTGAGGAGGGAAATGTATTCCTGATGATGTTTGTTTTTCAAAAGTAAGAAACAGATAAATAAACCTCATTCATCCTAAATCTATGCAGATAGTTTTACAAAGAACTCTCTACAATAAAGCCATGTTTGAATGTGTATTAATACTGAGTATTAGCCTGACCTGGGGAACCCCGGGTTGCTCCGTCTGTCTTCTACATAAGACCTTGTTAATACCACAGCCCGGCAAATCTGGGAAGCACAGAGACACCTGCCTTTTAACAGCAGAGTTTTGTAGAGAAAAAGCTAGAGGAATTGTGCTTTTCTCATATGCATAATGCATTCAAACGGATTCATATTTTTTCTATCTTAGACGCTGTGAAGGCCGCGACCTGACAGAAGCACTAATTACACACTGGTGGAGTGGGTTGCAGAAACCTGCAGTGACAGATGGTGACAGGGTGGGTCGTTTTGGATTGACTCCACTGGTTTCTACAGGAAAATGTAATCAGACTCAGCTCTATTTTTTATTAAGACCAGTGGATCCATGCCTGATAACAGTGCAGATGGGTAAAAACAGAGACAACGCACAAGCCCAACTGCTTGCGATGCTTCTGTGGTACAACTGGGATAATGGGAAACTGGTGGTTAACTTCTCTTTAACTTAAAATATTTTCATTCTTCTCTTGCTTCTATTTATTTCTTAATATGGATTTAAAGACGGAAGGAGATAATAGATTTATATTAAATGAACATCTGACATTTGAGCAAAATGTTGAATTAAAAATTAAGAGCCAGAGGTCACAGTGTGCATAATTGACCAGAATAGCCATCCTGGCCTTCAATTAGTTATGCACATCCAAGACAATCCTGCCAAATGCCACATATAATGAAGACTATATACTGTAGACCTTTTGAATGAGCCCATGCTGTCAGAATGGCTAAAACACTTTAGCATTGATTTGTTCCAGTATTGAAGCAGACAATGTGCGGTATATAATTATAGCTGAAGGTGCACAACTTGCACTTGGCAAAGAAACAGACAGACTCTAAAATCAAGAGGACGCAACAGTTATATCTATCTATTAAAAAACAGGTTGGATTAAAAGCTCCAGAATGCATTATCGAGGTAAACTTAGTTTGGGAACAAGATGAATTTTTGCTTCAAATGTTGGGGATTTAGTGTATTGTAAATAAAGCGTGTAATGCAATGCATTAAGTATCACTTTTAATTCTACAATTCACTTAGCAGACGCTTTTATCCAAAGCGACGTACATCAGAGAGACTTTTAAAGTCACTGCTTCTTCCATTGAAAACCAGGTTTGTGCATCCCCCAAAGGTCAAACATATAATGCGCTTTTTTTGCAATTGAAAAGTAGCATTAAGAATAGTTTTCCTTTTTTAAATCAACTTAGATGTTCTATAAAGGGTACACCATTACAAAAACATGAAGCAGTGTATAAGGAAAAGATGCCACATTACATGCATTAAAGTGAACAATTCAATAATAAAAATGATTCATCTTTTTTTTTTTTGGGGGGGGGGTAATTTAAACCCCACAGTATCAATCATTACAAAATGAAGCCGTCGAATAAATAACAGTTTTTAAACATGAATGAACTTGAAATAAATTTTATCAACCAAATAGCTTCAAATCATGCTGTGTTTCTAAATATGTTGTATATGAATACATAGTGTATTATTCAAAAGATTGCATTGCCATCAAAATGGCAGAAAGTACATAGTGTGAAAAAAACATTGTTTGATGTCTGTGGTCACACAGCAATTAAAGCCTCTTGGATCTTGTGTCCACATGAATAGGTTTCTATAAACGAGGTATGAAAACACAAGCTAGCTCAGAATCTACTGAGAAATTACACCAACGATCTAATGATGCACATTTTTTTTCTCATTCTCCGAATTAACTATTTATACTCCTGGCCACAGCTTGCAACGGACCGATCATGGTAATCACGGAAAACTGAGGGCTGCTTTGTGTGTGAGCAGAGAACCAGTCTGCCTCCACACAAACATGAAAAGACTTCACATCTTCCTCAACATCTGGTCTCCCAGACCTTTCTTATTTGTGGCTACCGTGGTTTAATGGGCCTAAGCTGAAACAACAAACTAAATATGTCATTGTTAATCATCAGGATGCCCACTCAAGCATCATGGGAGATTTCAGCATCATTGGCATCATCTCATCTTTCAGTGTTTTTCCTTGTTACCATGTATTGAGTCATTTCTTTGTCCTGCCACAGTGTTCTTATGCAACCATAGTGTGGCCATTTAAGACAGACAAACAGACTGGCAGGCAGGCAGGCCATTGACACTCCCCCACACATTCACTTATCCCCTATCAGCACATGCATGCTTTAACATCTGCATCTCTATTCTACACCCAACCACACTTCAGAGCTTAATCACAGGATTTACTGTTATGCACCTCTTCTGTTTTCTCTGCGACCCACACACATTCACACACCCATGGCTGGCAATGGATACAGGAAGTTGAGTCACATACATATTCGCACATACAGTACATAGAGAAGACCTGAATGATTCACAACTCATTTTGCATGTCATGACGCCTCTCCACCTCGGCTTTTTGAAACTAACAACAAACAGCGCATGACTGAGGCATGGCACGGCAGAGGCATGGAGAAAACACGGATCCAGATGGAGGATTAACCATGGCTTTTGCACCAGAAAATCGGGCTTTATGCGTCACGCTGGCGTCATTATTACTGTATATTCTAATGTTGACGTTCATCTCAGGCAGGAAGGAAGGGCTTGCAGTGACAGGGCTTGCCGTCGGTGCGCAATTTTGATGTGCAACGCCATTACAGACCACCCTACTCTGCTCGGTTCATTCATAAATACCAGAGGATCGCCATCTCGCAGCGGTGCCATCATTTCGCAGTCGCAGCGAAACCCCCCGCCACCCACTCACCCCTCTCCTCCTCCTCCTCTCTCCACCTCCCTCCTCCACCTCCCTTTACTCTTCAAAGCAATATGATAAACCCAGTACCCTCATGTCTCTGAACCTCTCCCGCTGACTGCCAATATGGCTGTGCAGGCATATAGGCGCCATAGATTTAATACGATAGGGTATCAAACACAAAGAAGTGGGAGGATGAATAAACAGCAAATCAACAGCAATGAGATAAAAAGAAAAGAAAAAAGCTGGTATTGCTCGGAATAGTGTGCACTCAGTATAGCACGGTAGAAGCTCCACGGTTACGCCACTGAATACCAACATGTAACCTCGATGGACGAAAAGCGAACAAGCAGCATCTTCATACCTGGTCGTGAAGTATGTAGCTCCGCTTCAGGCTCGTCCTTGGTTTAGACGGATAAAAGACAAACGCCGAAAGCGTCTTAAAACATTTTACACGGTTCATGTAGAGCTCATGTCGTCCGATTTCCAACGCCACGACAGCAGATTCTCTCTCTCTCTCTCTCTCTCTCTCTCTCTCTCTCTCTGCCTCTCTATCCCCCTTTCTCTATCTCTCTCGTTCGCAGAAAGGACGTGGGAGGTGCTATGCCCTCTCCCTTTTCTGTCCACACTTGATTTTCTCTCAGTTCTTACAAAGACCAAGTGGTTGGAGACTGGACGCAGGAATATTAGCATCTGTGGGAATCTGAACACGAGATAGTTCCAAACACCATAATCAAGAGAAGAAGAAAAAACTGAAGTAGCCTAATAGGAAGAATTGATTTTTAATAGGACACTATACACATGCAAAATTGAATTATTCACAAGTCGGGCCATGTAATAGAATAAAGAACCAGGAAACATGTTGATTATCCCGTAGAATCATATTAAAGCAGCACAATTGTTAAAATCATTCACGTTTCAAACGTAAAGTCTACTTAGCTGAGTCTCATATCATTTTTGTCAACGTTTCAGGCACATCAAAAAAAAATACTGTTTTTCCAGATCTAAGGTACTTTGACACCTACATCTTGGCCTATGACTGACACGTTAGAGCTTGAGTTTAGTTGTGTGAAAGTCAAAGGTCAGGGATGGAAATTGTTGGATCGACTGGATCACATTACATGGTACATCATTCTCACATTACGTTCTTTGATAGATATCTTTAGAAACTAATAAATGTTTGATTGTTCATGTTTAAACGAAGAAATGTAACACTAAGACATTAAGTTTACCAAAGATAGTTTAAAAAAATATATACGATGAAATGCTTTGTGGGGAGTATTGGTGGGGTCATTTGGGATGTATTGTTGGCTAAATCCTGATCAGCACCACGGACAGCGACCCCAGTGTGTTTCAGGACCATGGACAGAGCTACTAAGCCTAAACATGTGTACAGTATGCACAGTATGGTTAATGGCTGCATAAACAGTAGGCCTATACAAACTAAAACAATAGACATGGAATTAGTGGCACGATGGTAAGAGAGCACATAGTCCACAAACCAGGAAGTATTCCAGCCCATCCTAAATATGCCCAAATGAAATGTCAGTCGGCAGAAATAAGAACATTTCATTAATGTAATTTTATTTTTAAAGGGGTGTTTTGATAAAAGCCCTCGTGCTAATAAAAGGTCGGTGGTCCAGTCAGACCAGGCCTCGTTTTGAGCTGTGTCGGTACGTGACGGTCTCACTGTATGACTCACCAACTCCTCGTCCACACAGCCTTGTTTCTGTCTCCCTCTGTCGGTACACCCGGGAACTTGCACGGCCGGTTGCTTTCAAGTAGCAATGACTGTTTTCAGGGAAGAGATAAGAGGAGTCGAAGACATGGAGAGAGAGATGGATGATGCAGGGTTTGGTAGGAGGGAGGGAGGATTATTAAATATTTAGATGGATGCTTGGACAAAGTAGAGTGATCATTAAAATGGATTGAAATTGAAATTGAGATTTGTGATGTCTTTACGTTTCTAGGTGTAACTTAAGTTTAGTTTAAGCATTATCACTTTTCTAATGAATGTGCTTTCTGATTGGGTCATCTTTAGGCCCAGTAAACACCAATTCTTCTGGCAGAATTGTTAAGGTCTTCAAGAATGAACATACAAATCTCAACTTGTACGCCATCATCCACTGGAAGTCCTGTAGTGATTTGACAACATAACAGTGAGCATATATGCTGGCGGATGGGGTCATCTGTCTGTCACAGAGTTCTTTGTTCCTTAACACAATCAGTGATTGGCAAAGGCATCAGATCTCCAGTAAACCAACCTATTGATTTTGACTTGTCGACTTGAGGTGCCGTTTGAAAATTAAAAACATTGATCAACAACTGTAGACATCAACTTTGAAAGCCAACAAACGGCTGAGCAGATCTGTGAGGTTGTGCAAGACACAGGAAATACCCAACTTCAATGCGAATGCCGGCATGCTGATGTTTGGTATCGTAGTCACTAGCTTGGTTAACATGCTTATCTATGGGTTCAGACAGATATTTGGTGACAAAACAAAGTATGAGAAAAATTTAAACAGACTTATCAGAGAAGATTCTCATCGGCGTCATCTTGTCTGAAGCAAGACTTGTGTACAAATGAGTTTAGTAGTTCTTGAGATATTTCACTGGATGACAGACACTTCAATCTGCTAGTGGTGCTACAGAGTATAAATATAATAATCATTAAAATCATGATTAATCCTATGGGGAAAAAAAATGGCTTTTTTTATACCATTCAGTAGCAATCCATACGTAATAAAGATGCATGATAAATGTCAGTCTGATGATCACACTTGAGTGAAGGGATCAATTCAGTCTGTATGGATTTTATCCTCTGGGGGCCAGGAATGTGAAAAACATCATCTTAATGTGTTTATAAGGGGACGACATATTAAGTCTGCCAAGTGTCAAGAAACAATCTTTACAGCCATGATTGAAGTGTGGCTAAGAAGCAACTCTAAATATGCCTAGTTAAAAAAATAAATAAAAAAAAGGTGCTTTACATTTAGTCCCTTCATTCTCTGTTCCCCTCCTCTCTGATCATCTTCTGCCATCTAAAGCCATTGAAGGCCACACACTTAAAAGCCTTGACTCAAACCACACAGCAACACAATGTAATAATTGGTTTCCGTGTCAAATTTCTGTTTAATCAATAACCTGTCAGCCACCTTAGGCTTTGGGAATACATAAACACCCAGCAGTCGCGTCTTCACAGCAGCCATTTCCAGATGGGTGCCTTCCTCTCCCGTGGCGGCATGTGGCCATCACACCGGCTCCGTCCACCATGCATTACATCCACTGCACGAACACAAAGAGCCTTCCATTCAGAGCCCCTCAAGCATACATTTAGAGCCAAACACAAATTAAAGCTCGGGTGGTTAGGCTGTCTGAAAGCCACTAAATGTGTTTCAGGGTGGCAGGTCAAAAGATTAAGTGGTTCCATAGGATAGGAGAGAAAATACAAATGGCATTCATATTTTCTCAGCAAAGAAACAGAAATAACACACGCATTTTTTTTCTCATTTTACAGTTATATCTGCAAATCAAGTTAAAAAAAATTATGAAAAATGAAGGATTTGAGGAAGTTATTGGTTTAAAAAAAAAGTGCTGCCAAAGGAATTATTACCAAATCCACAGAAATTATACAAAGACAAAATATCGTTTCCCTTACTTGCCGCTGCTTAAAAAAAACCCTTACAGAAGTCGCTGGTGCATTAAAATTGTAATTTAGGCCAAATAAAACCCTTTTTCCAATTTTATAAGGAACGGCAGCAGCTATTGAGGGCAACAGAGCAGAAGAAACAAAAACATTCTTGAAGTTTAAATCCAGACAGACAGACAGACACCTTTCTTCAGTTGATTAGGGTTCCAGTTTTATTATTATTTCATCCCTGTGAGAAGATAAATTAAGACATATCAAAAGACAGAAGTCATCCAGTTAGACTTCAAGTTATAGAACATTCCCAACAGACTTTAAATGCTGCTTGGCACAAGTAAGATTAAGTAAAAGTTCCAGTTTTCACTTAGAAAGTGTAGTTAGAAAATGCTCTTAAATTACACATTTTAAGATAACCTGCTTCTTAACTACAATATTAGGAGACTGGGTTTTCCAATTTTTTTCACTGGCTTCATTGGAAAAAAAAAAAAATCAACACAACGCCAGGTATACTGAAACCACGTCTTTTGCTTTTCATTTCTTTTCACCAATCGTACCGCTCAACAGAGAAATCACATAAAAAAGATCACCGTGTTACTGATTGTCTTGGCTGTACCAGTGGCAGTAAACTGATGCAATTGCACATACAGGCTTTAAATTATATCCAGGAGTTTAAAGCTTCAGTTCATCACAACATTGGGAGGGGGGCAGATATCATGGGGGGGGGGGGGGGGGGGGGAGTGTAAGGATGACTAAAGCTGAACAACAAGCACAGACATACACTCATTCAGGCAATCATTCAACTACACACACACACACACACAGACACACACACAAAGTCTTCTGATGTCCCTCACTGGTCCTTGTCGTGATTAAGCGCCCGGTTAACAGCTGATGGAACACAAAGAAGGACAAAAACACAATGTTTCACAAAAATGGAAAAAGCACCTCATGCAAAGCAGAATCAGGATGAATGTAATGATGCATTTTGACAGTGGGAAGTGTGCAGTTAGCGCTTAGCTGTTAATATGTGCCTGCATGCCCTGTATATCAGACGGGCACTCGTTATTAAAGCAGAGTCAGGTAAGCAGGAAGATGTGAATGTAACTGAGTGTTAAGTATAAGCTTCAGTAACAGATCTCAAGAACTTAGCAAAGTTCTCAAGTACTGTTATCAAGCAGCCTCACTGTTAGTTACAACTTGGCCCTGGGTCGGTAAAGGATGGCTCTAGACCACCGAGTGGAGCCTGATCTAAGCCGTGTCAGAAGCCGTAGTCTTTAGACTTTGACAACTTGAGGCTGGATCCAGAAGTTCATTAACGTCAGTACTCCCAATATTAAAATGCAAAACTTTATAGTTTAATCAATCAAGTGTACAGCCTGGTCAATATAAAGCTCTTTGTGGCCAATTCTTTTATAAATAATCGGTCTCAATTATATTCAGAATTAAAGTTACGCATAATAAGGGACATTCCAGACCATAGTTTTACAAAGTCCAAGTCCACAGAAGACACTGAAATTTTAAAGTGAAAGTGTCTGCTATGTGCAGTAGCAGAACAGAATTGTGGGAGTCTTTTCTGGCTGTAATCCTTAGATTGATTTCATGTATGAAGGCCCAGGCCTGTGTGTGACTTCTGATAGGGGTTAGTCTGCTGTCTGCTGCTGGGACAAATTGTATAAAATGTGGCTGTACTTGCATGTATACTGCAGTTAGCTCACCCTCCTTTGTGACAGTTTCAGTTACGTTCTTGGCCTTGGCGCTCAAATCGCTGACCATATTGTCCATGGCCACCTGGTGTTTCAAGAAAAAAGGGCGGATCATGCGCGCTTGTACAAGATATCAGAACCATTCCACGTCACTGGAGCCATACACCAAATCAGGAACAAACACTGGGGAG